GAAAGAAGAATCTAAATTAGTTTATTAGTATCAGATATATATGTGATAATGAAACTTAGATTTTTAAGAAGAATTAATGAATTGATACGACAAACGAAAAATTCTAGGGGAAAAATACCATAGATAAAATGATGTCAATTTTTTGGTATATTTTATCAAAAGAAAATATTGAAGAGCAACACTATTAACGTACTTCTAAAATTTATTCATTGTTGAGACTATTTTTTTCTCATTCTTTAACAGTCGTCTGTCGTAGATAAAAAATAATTTATTGCTACAAAAGTTACTAGAGCAGCTAAGTTTTTTATTTGATTACTTTAATCTTTATGACTTACGCATATTTATCATCTAGTTGTTCTTTTAAGATTTATACTGAAAACGTAATATATACTCAGCATTACATTCTTTTTATGATATAAGAGTTAAAAAATTAAAGTTTCTTCGCGTAAGAGTTTCAATCGACGACGAACTCAGTAAAATAACAAGCTTTAAAATGAAATCATTAATGAAACTAAGCTATTTAACATTTTTTTCAACTGATTTATTAAGATCAATCACTGCGACGTTTCGTTCTAACTAAGAAGATTATCAAACACAAATAAATAGACAGAAGAAGAATATATATAAGAGTAAAATAATATCTTCGTTTTTCTATTCTATTGTTTTAAACGTTCTCATGCAGACGGATCAATTTTACTCTCCCCATGCATTGAAATGCTTAAAACAATAGAATAAAAAACTAAGACATTATTTTACTCTTATATATATTCTTCTTCTGTCTATTTATTTGTGTTTGATAATGTTCTTAGTTAGAACAAAACGTCACACTGAACCAAATGACAAATAAGTTCTATATTATATATTTTTTCTACGAGTATCGTATTTTGTCAACCATCTCGATGGAATGTACAAAAAAGTTTTCCACAAATACTATCCTAAGAAAAAGCAAAAATAAACGCAGAACGTAAGGTGAAACTAAATCCTCTACATCGTTCAATTCTGAAGACTTCTTCTATTAGAGTTATCTGAGTCTTTTTGCTTATGTTTTCTAAGCTCGACCAACGGTCAATGAGAATCCTTATTCACAATTCGTATACAGTAAATATGTGAATTTCTTCGTAATCTGAATAGTATTTTAGATTAAATTCAGATATCATTCATGTATCTTATCTTTGTGTGCATTCACATCGCTCGCAGAAGTGATGTTTACTTATTGAGCAATCTTCATCGAATGAATGAATGAATGTGCTGGACAAATTTATTTTCTCTTTTGTCCTTCCTCTTCTCTGACTTTTTTCTTTTACTTCTTGACTTAAATTTTTCTTTTCTTCCCTTTGCTTTCTTATCTCTCCAATTTGATTAAGACTAACAATCAATTACTAAGCGTATGAGATCCGTTTTGTTTAGGCCACATACATTTGTCGAATATATATTAACTGAAAATATTACTCTCTTTTGACTTGGTTAGAGTTTCTAATTGGATTATGTAGCTCATAATTAATAATGTTGTATTGCTTGTCATAAACCGAGTTTCAATTAGCTCATATACTGATGAGTTGATAATTTGTGATGAAAACTCTAATGCATCAATTTTATGTTTGAGAATATTAGGAACTTATAATTTATCCTACGTTTCGAGCTTTGAACATAATCAAAAAATTAGGATTTCAATGTGAAAATTGGGACTTTAAATCAATAAAATCAACCTGTATTTTTTCGTTATTCTAATGTTCGCACCAACACATGATTTTGATTCATATGATGTCAATGTTACGCGGATTCTTACTTTAATCAAAGGAACTCTTTTTCACATAATTAAATTTACAGCAAATGCTTTTTTAAAGTAATTCAGCAGATCAAAAGATAAATGGAAGCTCCAAACGGACTAAATGTCTTTCACGCGTACTGTGAAACAATAAAAAATATAAATTCATGAGAATATAAATAATTATGGGAATCAGTCCCAAAAAAAAAAATTAATCTACTTTAAGCATTTACAGCTGTTTTCGTTGGAAAAGATGATCATAAACATTTCTCACTATCTTTTACGAAGAAAAAAAAGACTTATATAACCGTTTCAGAGTTTGTTTAATGTGAATAATGCTTGGAAACGTTGACTAGATGTAAAAACGGCAAGAAAAGTGATGATCACGTTTTTTCTTGCTGTTTATCACCGTTTCCTAACAGAACGGGTGATTATGACAGTTTAAATGGCATTTTCAGCGTTTCACTTCTTCCTGGGTAAGCACATATTCACAAAAGTTCAAATCTTTCAGTAGTTCAAACTTAATGAAATTTGTTTTTTCTATTTAAACTGACATCGAAATACTCTGTATGCATCAATATTACGTGAAATTTAGAAAATCTAATTGATCTTACATTGAATTATTGCATTCAAATACCACTATTCGTTTTGTGAACCAATCAATTATCGAAATATTCGCTGAAAAAATATTTCGATTAAGCTTCTGAGCTCTTGTAAAGAGAAAAAAATGTAGAAATCAATTGATATTCTATACCGTCTTTGAGGATATTGAATCACAGAAAAAACAACCTCGTTTAAATCTGCTTTAATAAACAAAATAATCACAAATAATTATCTTAAACTATTCGTTGCTAACGACATCAATAGTTCTCCATGCATTTCAGTATTTAAAGCAAGGTTGTATACAAAATGTGTAAAGTTTTCAACGAACTTTCAGGAAATTAGCTAATATCTTTTTATGCAAAGAATCTTGGTAACTAAGTTAAAACAATCGTCCGTGCCGATGTGTCATCTTTTATCTCAGAAACTTAATATGAACATAATTTAAAATAAGCAAAATTGATCCATTCTTCACCATCAACATTAAATGATGCATATTTCAAAGATATCTGAATACAAGTTGATTTTCATTGATATGGATATTCAACATTACCTAGAAAAATCAAAATTCATACTTCCATAAATTCAATAATGACTTTAAAAATTAATATATATTCAAATTTTTCCATGTGAAATAATCAAGAAATATAAGAGCATTCAACTAGAGAGTTTTTGCTAGTGACAAATAAATTATTTTAAGTTAACATGAAGACACAGTATATTCAATAAAATTTCTCGAGTACCATCTAGTTGTGTTATTTATAATTTAACAATCACTAATATGAGTCGACGAAAAAAAACTGTTATCAAATTTTATAATGGAATTTCATAAAAGATAAATACATAGCTTTTATGCGCAATATTTCAATTCATCATTATGCAAACTGTATAAAACTCAAATGTTAACATAGTATTAAGATTATTGACAATTAATATGAATATTAGTCTCATTAAAACTGAGTATCATGTTCAAAAAGAAAATCCATGTTGTTGTGTCAAACTCTTGTGATATCTCTGTTTCATCGGTTAGTAAATTCGTTTTGCGTTACCATTGAGTTCAAAACTTCTTGTTGTAAATCACTATTAGTTGATCATACTGAACAAGAAAAATGAATATTTCACGAGAATTTCATTTGTTTTTCAAGTTGATTATACTGACGATCTCTATTTATTTTCAAATAAGAATTTAAAAAAAAAAAGTCAAATTTATTCTGGAGTTAATCGAACTGTATTAATCAAAAAATTGTAGCATTTGTTTTTCAAATTTTCTATGTTGCATGATCGACGTACTTTTGTTGCTGAGCGGCGAAAATAAATAACATATTCTGGATAAGCCTGTTCTGGGTCGTATAGAATAAATTCACAATGTTTCAGTCGGTCGCCACCATATTTTATACTCACTCCCATCACCGAATCATACAAATCTTCACTGTTTAGTTTCTTGGGTGGGCGACGAATAAGTTGATGATTAGGACAGCATATGTATTTTTCTTTATCATACTTCAGTGTCACATGTGCATCACCCAAGACAGCACGATAGACGATCATTGGAAATTCGAGATCTTCTTGATTAATACAACTGCATTCTATAGTACTACTCATTGAGTTTTGACGGCACCCAACACAATGAAGAATTCTCAGCCAAATAGAAACCACCTCTAAACATGCCATTCGAATTCGAAACACGAGGATCATAGCCACTATACAACAAGTGATATAAACTATTTTGGTTACATCTATGAAACAGTCAATATTCATTTATTTTTGTATCTAGCAGAGGCATATCAGTAATGGGCAATCTTTCAAGTAAATCGAACTATCACAATCCGCTAGTCTATCATTATTTTGACGAATAATCGTTTTCTAAGGTAGACAATGAATAGATATCAATCGACTGAAAAACATAAATCACTCTAAATTAATTAATTTCAAAACATAGAATCATAATAAAAAAAAATTGGAATGTTTATTAGGATTCATTTCTTTATATTTTATATTATAAATGAACATCTCTTCCAAAATGTAACCATCATTGAAAGACAAGAAGAATGATGAATAGTTAGTACAAAGATTATTATAATATCGGTAGTGACTTAATCATGTTTGAATACTTAAAGACTTGAGTAGTCACTAAGACTAATTGAACTGTAATTTTTATCTTATGAAATTCTAAGAAATAGATGACAATTACAAGTGCCTGTTTTTAAAGTCAGTGACTCAGTTGTGAATGGAATTATTATTTCAAAACAAACTGGAAGACTCTAACGTATATTTTCCTCGTCGATGCTTTGTAATGATCGATTTTCACAAACACTCATTTGTTTAAATTTATAACAAAAAGAAAAAAATAGTTTTTTTCCACATTTCCCATAAAAACGTGTTGTATATCTTGCAATTTTCATAGCAACCAAAGTGTTTGCGCTTGTCAGGACAAAAAAGGTTTCAACTATTATCCTATCAAAAGGGTCCTGATGCTTGACTGAGCATACTAGATTCACAAGATTTTTTCACTCTTCTTCAGTTGAATACGAGTTTTATGACTTAAACATGAATAAATAGAGAAAATGTCACATATAATTCTTAGAGAATCTAATCTCACCTTTTTGAAGCAATAAAGATGCTATAATTCGTTAGTCTATATTCGTACTATTCTATTTATTAAAAATTCTGTTGGATCTCGTTCATTGACCGTTCCATATCGATTGCCATGCTTTGAGATGGTTGAATTCATCAGCTGCTCGATAGTATTGAATTCTGGTGATTCGGACGATATTTCGATTTCACAATAAGCTTCTTCAAATGCATTCGGGCCCCAATAAAATGGTGTCCATCTCGAAATAGCCAAGATTCGTTTACGTTCTTGTTCGCGTCGGTCACGATTATCTAATTCCTCTCCAAGCATCGTTTGCAATTGTTGATTATACTTAGCCATTTTTGTTAAATCTTGACGCAGTTTTGTAACTTCATCGACTTCCAATTCTAACTGATTGATCAAACTTCGTACTTTATTCTCCAATAGTTTGATGAAATAAATTTCAGATTTCTTCTGTTCATCAAGTTTTTTTCTAAGTTTGAGCTCACGTATATTAGCAGGACTAGACATAGATGTCGTTGGAAAAGAACTGTCAATGTTAAAAATCGGAATGTCAACGTCACCAACTTCAGAGGATTTTTCTCTTCGTCTATAACCCAGTGGATGTGAAAATAAAATTCGAAATAATGAACGTTTGTTCTATAGCATGCTAAGCCATATTTAGATTGTGGAAGTGTCTGCATAGGTAATATTTCACTTGTGTGCTTTCGAGCAAGTCTATTGCTAGTCTTCACTTGTGACGGACTCGTATTTCAGTCACGGTGTCTTTGTGGAAGCATAGTTTGAGATGATGTTTGAACTAATATTGACTGAGAATTCGTGGCTATCTCATTTGTTTTGATTGGTCATCGATATCAGTTTTCTCATCACCGACAAATGTTTGAAGAGCAGATGATATATCTTCATTTGAATTTTCATTATTCACATGATGTCGTTTATCTTGAAAAATCAATCATATGTATTTTGATATTCAAATAGAAATGACACATGTAAAGCCTGTAGTGCGAAGCACTTAAAAGAAACGAGTATAAATCTTGTTTAATGCTAGATTTGTTTACCGACTAACAAAATTCAACCATAACAATACCAACACTTTTTCGTAAAAGATTCTTCAAAAATGGATGTTTAAACTTTAAATTAATTGTATTGAAACATTAAAATAGAAGTGTGAAGAAAATAACTTATTGTGCGAAATCAATTATTTTCTCATAGAACATTATATTGACGATCGAAGACGATTTTTTGTGTATTCCAACACTATACTTTCGATTTGAGATTGATAAGACACTGATATGTAAAACAAACAACAACGGATTACAGTCAGTATCAATTAGTAATGACATATTCTTGAATAGCTAATGTTGAAATATATTTCAAGGCAGTTTTATACTCAGCAATTAACTTATGGTTTGGAATATATTCTGGTACCGTTTTATGACGCTAACTCTCTGCAGTTCTAAATTTTTTATCAACTGTAATACGCAATATAGTTCAATCAGAAGGATGTGGGTGTGGGGTGGGTGTCTTTTATTCTCGCAAAGCTCATATACACAAATTGATTTAATCCTTCAGATTGCTAATCTTCACAAAGAAGAAAATAGTTAAATTAGAAAAAGAGACTGATGATAATCTGAAAACTAGTTTTTTTTTCGTGTTTTTGAAAGACAATAGCGGTAAGTCTTGACCACAATAAATATCGATGGAGGGCATGATTATCAAATACTAATTCATGTATGAATATGACGACTCTTTCTTAATCACATCACGTTCTTATGATACATAAGAATGTATTTCACTGATGAAAGTATTTATTGAAGTTTTAATTATGAATATATCCATGGATTATCATCAGATCTATCTATGGATAGTACAAGCTTAATTTCTTAGAGAAAGTAATGAATGTTTAAATGAATCTTTTTTCTTTCCTCAATCCAATAATGAATAGTCTGCTAACAAAACTTGTTGTTTGGATTAAAAGTATTTCTCAAATGCATGGCACGTGGAGACTTGAGTATTAAATTATCTGATAGTGTATGACGAACTTCAAATTAGTACAACATTTGTTATTGAAACAAAAAGATTCAGTCAAAACAATTTAGAAAAAACTTAAATTTTTGCCATTACCTTCCGTTCATTGACTATTGAGTTCTAGTCTTGTTATTCATGTAGAAGTAAAAGTGCTGTACTACGTCAGATTGTAAAATAGTAGATAAATTTGTTATTTTGATCAGATATTTTATTTTTCGATTTTAAAAGACTATTTGATAAATTTTGTTAAAAAGAATACAAAAAATAAACAATAATAGTATTTCATCCATTAAATGGTAGTTAATCGGACTTGAATTCTTTTGATCAAAGTAGTTAAGTATTATTTAGACAGTCTTTGAGAGATGGGAGACAATTTACAGTTATATCATTGATTTTGAGGTAGCAGAAAACTTTTGACATCGATGATTATGAAAGAAGGAAGTTCAATACAAAGAAAATATATATTTTGAACTGATTAGTTTTACTCTCGTACCGCCTTTTCGAATTCCTTTTAAAAGAAGCAATTAGTACCCTTTGTAATACTGGTGTACCACTCATAGAAAGATCTTCATGAGAATAGATTATTGTGAAAGTGTCAAATCTTACTATTTGTTTCTATGCCAAAAAGGAACATAAAAATAGCAGATGTATCTGAGCGATATAAAAGTCACTTATTTTTAACATGACCATATCTTTAAAAGAAAAAGATTAGAAACTTGCGAAAAAAAACAATGAATCAGTTGGAAGACTTTGTTCTTTAACTAAATCGTTAGTTATTGTATTATAATCTTCGTTTTTCAATTCAATTAGAATTCTATTCAGAAAATCACTTCATAATATTATCTTTTCTCATATCGCTTTCTCTTTCTTTCACTATGGTTATTATCGAGGTCAATTTGAATGTTCATCGTCGTTCATATCTTTTTTTTTCTTCTTTCTCTCTAAATGTATTTGGACCCTCGATTTAATAATAATAAATTATGTTCATTTCATACAGTCACATTTTTTCGATTCATTTTCAAAAACATATTCATGGGTCATTTATTCGCTAGGATGGCAACACGATGGTTAGAACAACAAACGGCATCGATTATGACACAAAATGGGTAAAAAATAATTTAAGATATTCTTTTGTTTTTTTTAAACGAAAATATTTTCTATGTCGAAATTTATCTTAGATTAAAACCAATTTATACTAAACGAAAGCGTATTGATAATGATAATATATCGAATAAAAGAAAAATTGTTATTAATTCAACAACAATGAATGATAGTGATAATGATGATGATAATGAACGTGTATCTCTTTCACCAAGAGTTTCTCCGATAATACTAAAAGTTACAAAATCTTCTAATTTGATCAATCATTCTTCATCATCTATGGTAGTATCTTGATTTTTTTTGATAAAATTAAAAATAAACAGAATCATATATTTCATTTAGACACTATTTAAATGTCAACTATGTCGTCGATGTCTCAGAAATAAAGATATCTATATGGATCATATGACCATGTGTGCTGTTCAACGTCAAGCATCGATTAAAATTATACGTGCAGAGAAAAATAAAGATGAAATTTCTATTCTATGATAAGTGACATTTTATTTGTTGAGCTTGTTTTCGATTTTTGTTTATTTTTATTTATTCTTCTGATTACATTGCTGACTTTTATACATATTTTTTTTTTCGAATAAAACATAAAGAAAATTAGATATTGTATACAATATTTTTTGATTGATATTTGTTATGTATATGTGAAAAAAAAAATTAGACATTGAAATACATTTTATTTATATGTGTGTGTAGGTCAAGAAAAGTAGAGGAAAGTCTCTAAGAGCATCCAAATATTAAATTGTATTTTTATGAATTCTTCAGTCGGAAAAATATGAAACATTACACATTCATATCCTCTCAAACGCTACTGTTTCTATCTTTAGGAACTTTTACCAATGCTTTTCAATATGAATGAGGGTGTGGGTGTGGATGTGGGTATGTTGAAGAGAATCTTTTGTATTAGTTAAATTTTTTTTTTCGAATTGAACAACAACAACAAAAATATATTCAATGTAAATAAAAAACAACGATTTTATTTCTGTACGATAAGGCTAGATTTAATGTTAATTGCCTTTCGCTATTGCTGGTTGTATAGTTTTAATAATAGTTTTTGAATAAGGTTGAATTCGATTTGTTCTAAATAAATTTGTTTTTTGGCATAAAATAAACATTTTTGCTTCTTGTCTAAATGATGTTGATGAAGCAAAAAAAACAAAAAATGGACATGCAAATGTTATATAAAATAGAATTGTAACAATATTGGTAAGTAAAAGTTCAATTTCTCTTTGACTAGTAGATTTAATCATAGTTGAAGTAATTGCTGTATATTCTGTAAATATAATATATGGTAATGTTGAAAAAAGTATTATTGGAATTTGTGTAAGCATCATTGATGTTAATTGTTTTTGAATTAATTGACGTTGACGAAGTATTTGTAATTTATTTGTATTTTTATATGTCATTACACCTGTTATTGTTAGAATAGTACTAGGAAATAAACCAAGATAGACAGGAAGTGCAATGTATCTTAGATAATTAGCGTAAGTCGTATTGATAAGAAGTAAACACGATGTTAAACCCGTCTTCGAACTATATATTAATTCAGCATATATTATATAAGGAACAGAATGACCTAACCAAAATATACTTATTAAAATAATTGCCCGTTGAGTTAATGGTAATCGACTTAATCTTCTATATTTTTCCTGACGACAACTAACAAGACATCGATCAATACTTGCTAAACAAATACATGTTATTGAGATTAAAAAACTTGCTTCGGTAAAAGCAATACGAGTTTTACACCAAATACGATTTGTATTTGACCAATCAAGAATAAAACCAACACTTAATATTCTTGTAAATAAGCCATAAAATAAGACAATACAATTAAAAAATGATGAAACCAAAAATATAAATGCACATGGATTTCGACGAGTTCGCCAAAGGAAACGAATATTAAGTAAATTTCCTAAAGTACCACAAATAAATATGGGCAAACCGCTATAAATTGTTATTGAGCGGATTAACATTGTATTCGAAGACATTTTCTTCTCTTTTTAATTCTACAAGAGAAAACATCTCTTCTGTGACATTTTACGTAGTAATGCATAAAATATCAAGCATCTTTTTTTTTTACTAAGACTTATGTAAAAAATATCATAGAAGACATAATTTTGTTTTTTTTCTTTATCACTAAAAATATTGTTTATCTTCAATTGATTAGTATCTCTTGACTTGTCTAATAGATAAAATAAAATCTGTACTCATCATGATTAACATAGTACTCATACATATTTATAAAAACGTTCCTATTATCAATATAGACTTTCGGCAACATCATGTGGCATGTTCAATGATGTAGAAAAATATTGCAGAACGCTCAGGAATAGTGTACTATTCATTCAAAAATGATATCAACAGCCTATTGCAGTGTTTTTGGTAATTGTCGAAAATCTATTGCTTAAATAACTACGGAGAAACTCATGTTATCCGTCTAAAACTATCTACTAGAAACTGAAAAACTAGCCTCAACAAACTTGGCTCGAAAATAGTTCATCTGCAAATTAAAAATTCTCTGTGGACCTTCATTCTATGTACTTTTTTAAAGTCTGACTTTTTAAAAGAAAAAAGTTCAGTATCTCAAAAAATGACAATCTAATTATAAAAGTATTCCATCATATAATACCATACAAGTTTAATTCATATAAGAGACTCTGTCATGCTCGACATCTTAAGAAACTCTTTCAAAGAAAAAGTAAATCATTGGCTACAATGAAACTCCCTTGAGCACTCTGAGATACGTGATCAAAAAACACATAAACAAAGAAAAGACGAAAAAGATTTGCTACTTTTTTTTTGAAAACAGCACGTAGTTCACGTAAATTTTTTATATATTTATAAAGTCATATATATTTTTTTTTCACTTGAAATGAAAGATATTATTATTTCTTTTTTGTTTTTTGAAAAGCTTATTAATTAATATAAATGGAATCAAAGAAATATACATTAACAATTTTATGACGTTTATGATCAATGAATTGTTCGAGTTATTTGTGCCCTATAATTAATGACAATTTAGGGATGAAACTTTGTATTTAATTTGTAAAAGTATAGTACAGCAGTATATAACATTTTCCAACTAATATCTCGTCTCTATTATATTAGGGTATACAAAAAGTAGTAATGACAGCGGAATGAAAACGAAATACAAAAACAAGTAACTCATGCTTTGTCTTCAACCTGTTATTGTCCTTCACAAAATCATTGAGATCATTTTTCGATTGTCACAAGAGAAGAAACTTGATCATGAATAACTCTTGCTTGAATATTCAGTGCAGTGTGTACTTTAATGTAGAAGCAAAAATTTTTCTTATTCATCTAAAACAGAAATAAACAATATTAACCTGAGATCTTGATTTATTTCTTTAAGCTTTTTGAGAACATAATAATAAACTGCAGCTGCAAACAAAACAATAATATGAACTAATGCATTGGTCATATATCAAAATTAGTTATAATATCAGTCTTTATAAACAGAAAGTTTCTTTAAACTTTCTATAAGAAATTAAAGTATCTCCGCCACTACATTTGATATGTCTTAAGTATGTATGAGAAAATAATTCTAAAAAAAAAACTTATGACTTTTATACAAACTAGTAGGCAGGATATTGTTTATTTGTTAACGAAATCTAAATCGGATTAAATAAAGTTTAAGAATTCATTTTCAGTGTTCAATTACGTTAACATTTGTGTCTGCTACATTGATTATTTATGCATTTATTATCCTTGGTGTGGAAAAATCTTCGTATTAAATATAATATATTCAATATTTCCGTATTTAACTTTCAGACTTCTTATGTTCGCATTGCACTTCTGTTTGTAAATTATATGATTAGTTTATTGTCCGTTGCAAACTTTGTAAAAAAATAAAATAAAATGTTTAATTGTCACACATAAATTTTTACTTCTGCTTCATTTATTATAATGATATATATTTAAAATATGGACTATGACATTTAAGTCCTATTGACAAAATAGATTGTTTTCAATTAATTTAGATATGTCACTTAAAATAAATAAAGAGAAAAAGCTCATTAAAATAATTGAATCTTATTCGTGTTTAAAAATGTTTTCTTTATCAGAACATTTCATTTTTAATTATATTTTAAGCATGAATACATTTATCTATTGTAATTTATGTTCATTGAATGCATTCGAAGTATCTGATAAAGGTAAACACTTTTCTCATCAATAAAATAGAGCAAATAGAAATTATTTCGTGAAAATAAAACTTTTCATGTTCTCAGTTTAGAAGTAATACGAGTAAGAAAGTTTTACTCAATATAAATAGCTCGAACATGCCACATAACCCGTATTTCTGAGTATCTTTGCAAATATATTTAGTTTTGTTTTTACATTTAGTCTTATTACTGTGCATATTGAAGTTTTTTTCCCCGTCGGATGGTAAAATTAGGCAAAACGATGGAAAATACCTTAACATATAGGCATTTATGTTTGAAAATAGATCTCACATTTATTTTGCTAAAATATTTCGTGCCTAGTTTCCCACGTAGGACAGTTTTTTTTGCAAAAGGGAAAAGATTATCAAAATAAATATAAAACAGAATCTAAAAAAAACACTAAATAAGTACTTTTGTAGTTCACTACCTGGCATTTCTAATGACATAAAACAATGACTTCCATCTCTTCTTTAAAAATAAATATGTTTACGAGAATACTCGAAGATACTTGCGATGACTCACGTTCAAGCTATATATATTGAGAAAAACTTTTTAAACCTTATTATCATTGAATATTATGAAATAACCATATTCTACTTATCAAAAAGTGGTCTCATTTGAATTAGAAACTCGATATTCGTGAGCAGCCATCCAATTATTCTTTCGTTAAATTACATTTATCCAAGATATGAATCAGTAAAAATAGATGATCTGTGATGTTTTGGATAGTAATTTGAAGGAATTTTATCAATATGACATTTTACTTTTGTCTTTTTTAGATATTCCTAATACTATAATTAATCATTTTCATTAATTTTATGACATTTTCAAAAGATAAACAACAGCTTTAGAATAGTTATATCTTAAAAGACAAAATTTTTTCTCTTGATGAATTCATTTAAACTAAATTTAGATGAAACCACTTGACTTTTACTCCAGAGAAACTGAACAGTGCTTCAACATGAAGCAAAAATTTCTTATTTTCTGCTTAGTAATTCATGCAATTGAATCGATGCGTAAATATGAATCGGTTGAAAAATAAAACATGTAATATAATACAATTTTCAAGCATATAAAATGAAATAAAGTAGTTGTTCATCGTATAATAAATCATAAATGGATTCAAAGATATGATGAATAATGAATACTTTCTTCTTAATAAGAAAATGAAATTCAAAATATTAATAAATCCTTTTTTTACTGTCGTTTTTCTGTCTGTACGTCATTTCTCACAGATAATATATACATTACAGAGTAAAATTAAATGTATGAATTACAAATTTTGTACCAGAC